TGCGCGGCGGCGGCGCCCGGGCGGAAGCGGCGCGGGGCGCCCGCGGGGCTCCTTAAAGGCGCCGGCGCCGCGGCCGCGCTCGGCGGATGGAGGAGGCGCGCGGGGCTGGAATGAGCAGGTGGGGCCAGGCCCCCTCCCCGGGACGCGCCCCCCGCCGCCCCCGGACCGGCGGCCGCCGCACGAGTGTCTCCGGGACGGGGCCCGTTCCCCCCCCCCCACGCGGGGCTGCGGTCACCGGGGCGGGCTCCCGGGAGTGCAAACACGGGGGGGCGAAGCGCAGCGACGGGGTGACCCCCCCCCCAACCCCCTGGGGCGGAGCAGCCGCCAGCCCGGGGGTCCCGGCGGCGCCCCCGGGACCTGCACGTTAAAAACGGCACCGGGGGGCGGGGGGGGGGCCGTCCCGCCGCCGCCCCCCGCACGTGAGCGCGAGCAGCGCGGCCGCGCTCAAGGGCCGGCGGCTTGGTGCTTTTCCCGAGCTTTTTATTTTTTATCCTTTTTTTCCCTCTTTTCCCGAGGGCACTGGGCTCCGGGCCGCTCCGGTGCCCTTGGGWTGCAGCCCCGCGGTGCTGAGCGCCGTCCCCGCGCCGGGGGACCCGGGCCCGGCCGCTGGCGGAGCCCCTCGGGTCATTCCCGGCAGCCCCGACCTTGCCGCCGTGCCGAGTCAGAGCAGCACGCGCCCGGTTTCGCTCCATTCGGTTTATTCCCGAATCGCAGCTGCGCTCCGGCCCGGCGGGCCGCGGCGTTGGGCGGCGCGGGGCCCCGCGTCCCCGCCGTGCGCTGCACTTTGCTCCCTGCCCTGCGGCCTGGCCCGGGGGGCACGCGGGGCCCTGCGCAGCCCCGAGGCTCCCGGGGGCCGCGCCTGCCCTGCGCCGCCCCGATAACGCACGGGACGGGGACGGGGCGAGCGGGGCCGTCGCCAAGGCCGCCCCGTGCGCCCCTGCAGGAGGGCGCCGCGATGGCCGAGGAGGCGCCGCCGAGCCCCCCCATCACCCCGCTGCAGCAGATGGTGGCCTCGGGCACCGGCGCCGTGCTCACCTCCCTCTTCGGTGAGTGTCCCCCCGCCCCGGCCGGGACCCTGCCGCGTGTCCCCTCCGCGCGCGCGGCCGCTCACGGTGCCTCCCGCCGCAGTGACGCCGCTGGACGTGGTGAAGATCCGGCTGCAGGCRCAGAGGACGCCCTTCTCCAAAGGTAGCCCCCCGGGGCGGGGGCTGGACGCTTCAGTGGCACCGGGGCAGCTCGGAAGCTGCTCCCGGGGCTGGTGGCCCCRTCCGGGGGCAGGTGCCGGGGGTGTCGTCACCACATGGTGCCTTTTCCCCACCCCGCTCCAGGGAAGTGCTTCCTCTACTGCAACGGCCTCATGGACCACCTATACGTGTGCCAAAACGGCAACGGCTGCACCGCCTGGTACCGGGCACCCACCCGCTTCAGCGGCACCCTGGTATGGGGAGGGGGCACCTAGGGGGTGGCGGGGGGCAGAGCCGGGCATAGCACCCCCCCATCCCCACCACCCCTCTCTCCCCRCAGGACGCGTTCGTCAAGATCACACGTCACGAGGGCATCAGGTCTCTGTGGAGCGGGCTGCCCCCCACGCTGTGAGTGCCGGCGGGCACGACGGGGGCACCCGTGGGTGGCCCCGCGCTCACCCCCATCCCCTTTCCGCGCAGGGTCATGGCCGTGCCGGCCACCGCCATTTACTTCACGGCTTATGACCAGCTCCGCGACTACCTGCAGGCCCGCGCGGGCAGCCGGGGCCACCACATCCCCTTGGTGGCGGGCGCGCTCGCCAGGAGTGAGTATCCGCCGGCGCCGCGCTCCCGGCACCGGGGGCCGGCGGGCGCCGAGCTGAGCGCGTCCCCGCCGCAGTGGGCGCCGTGACGGTCATCAGCCCCCTGGAGCTCATCCGCACCAAGATGCAGTCGCGGCCGCTCAGCTACCGGGAGCTGCGCGTGTGCATCCGCTCGGCCGTGGCGCAGGACGGCTGGCTGTCCCTCTGGAGGGGCTGGGGGCCCACGGTGCTGCGCGACGTGCCCTTCTCAGGTACGTGGACTTGGCGGCGGGGGGATCGGGCGACCGCCGAGCCACCTGCCCACAGCATTGCTGTCCCCCGTGCCCTGCAGCGCTCTACTGGTTCAACTACGAGCTGGTGCGGGCATGGCTGTGCAGGCAAGCCCGGCTGGACGAGGCCACCTTCGCCATCAGCTTCGTCTCCGGGGCCGTGTCGGGGACGGTGAGTCGCTGGGGACACAGGTTGGCCRGAGCCACGAGGCCACGGTGAGGGGCTGGTGTCCCCCCGCCGCTCACAGCCCGGCCCCCGCGCAGGTGGCGGCCGTGCTCACGCTGCCCTTCGACGTGGTGAAGACGCGGCGGCAGATCGAGCTGGGCGACGGCGACGCACTGCGAGGTGAGGGCGGACGGGGGGGTGGCAGCACCCCCGTCCCCAGGCAGCCCCTCATCCTGCTGCCCTCTCCCCGCAGCCCCTGCCAACAAGTCGTCGTCCACCTGGCTCCTCATGCAGCGAATCCGGGCAGAGTCCGGCACGCGGGGACTCTTTGCAGGTAGGGCCGTGGCTGGAGGGGGACGCGGTGCAGGGACGCCGGACGGCAGGACCTCACGGTGATGTCCCCGCAGGCTTCCTGCCCCGTGTCATTAAGGTGGCCCCGGCCTGCGCCATCATGATCAGCACCTACGAGTTCGGCAAAACCTTCTTCCAGAAGCTGAACCAGGAGCGGCAGCGGAGCAGCCTGTGAGCCGAGAGCCACCCGCGGCCACCTGCGCCCTGCAAGTGCCTGCCGGCCCCGGGGCCACCAYGGGACCCCCGGCCCGCGTGGCCGGCGGGCGCTGCTCCCGGCACCGCTGAGCCAAGCCCTGGGTGGGGGGGGTCTCCACGTGCCACCCACCTCCCGCTCCGTTACGCACAGTGTCCCCTTGGTGGCACCGGGAGCCCTCGCCGCCCTCCTGGGGACAGTCCTGCCCCTGCTCGCGGGCCGGGCCTCGCTGCTGCTCTTGGGGGGTGCAGAGCACGTGGGCAGCCGCCCCATGGCCGGCCCTCCCCCGTGGGGACATGTGCCAGCCCTGCCCCCCGCCCCGGGGACACAAAGGACGACTTTCCTTTTATTTTCTTAAATAAAAGAAAAAAAAACGAGCCCTTGCTGAGGGCAAGGAGCTGCTGCCTGTGCAGGCGGGTGGGCTGGGGAGCAGAGGTTTCCCCCCCCCAGGTGACAATCTGGTCCCCTCCAGGGCTGGGAGGGGACTGCAGGGTCCCCAGCGGGCTCTTCTCCCCTGCGGGGAAGGGGCAGAGGCCGGCTCGTATCGCTGCATTTATTGATTCCATTTGCTCCAACAAGGCAGATGGGGCTGAATTAAAAACCAAAAACACCCAAAACAACCCGAAACCCAGCGGGGAAGGGGAAGGCGGGCGCGGGGGGACAATGCTGCAAGGAGGTGCAGCCAGACCCTGTTGTGAGGGGGGTCCCTATGACACCCTGGCCTGGGGAGGGGACAGGGACAAGTTGGGTGTGGGGTGGCACTGGAGGGCAGGYGAAGTTCTGGTGGGTGCCCCAGGGACCCTGTGTCCTGGGGCAGGACGCTGGGTCCCCATGGAGCAAGACCTGGGGACAAGCAGGGAGGTTGCCCCACACCCTTCCAAGTCGCTCCCGGCTGCTCCCAGTGTCCCCCCCTTGCACGGTGGCACAGTCCGTCACCCCGTCCCCAAGGCRGCCGGATGCAGGAGGCCCCGCCGTGGCATCCCGCATCCCGACCAGCCCACGTCTCCGTGTGCAAGCGTTCGGAGCCGGGGCGTCAAGGGCGCTGGCGAGTCCCCCACGCTCCGCCGCGGCGCGGGGCCACGCGCTCAGTCCTGGCCGGGCGCCGKGGGCCTCAGCTGGGGCTGCGCGCCGGGCTGCCGTCGTTGCTGTCGCTCACCAGGCACTCGTTGGACTTGAGGCTGGCCAGGGACTTGCAGCTGGGCAGCGAGGCCAGCGAGCCGCAGAGCCCCAGCATGGAGGGCGTGGGGTCCTTCCCTGCGGGCACGGAGCGTCACGGGCACTGCCGGCGGCGCCGGGGGGATCCCGGGTGCAGGGGGTGCGGCGCCGGCCCCCCTGCCGCGGTGGGCAGAGGGTCTTACCCAAGGGCCCCCAGGGCTCCCCGGCACGCTTGCCCTCGCCCAGGCGCTGCGAGTCGGAGCTGAGGCTGTTCTCGGCCGAGAGCTGGTCGGTGCTCACGAAGCTGTGCCTGCGGGGGACGGCGCTGAGCCCCGGGGCGCCCCGGGGACGCGGGCACGGCGCGGGCCCCCGTGGGCGCTCACCGGCGGTACAGCTTGCCCTCCGAGCCGCTCTCGTGGCCGTTGAGCGTCCCCAGCGAGGGCCACTGGTTGCCCAGGGGCGGCACCGTGTCCTTGGGGAGCTGGGCCAGCTGYGGGTTCTCGCAGGGGATGAGCCCCGTCCTGCGGGCGACGCGGGCGCTCAGCACGCGGCGGCGACGCGAGCGATGGGCACCCGCTGCCGCCCTGTGCCCTGCTGCACTGGGGACCTGCCACCCACCGCGTCCCACAGACCCACGGAGCATCTAGGGACCTGCTGCCACCATGTCCTGCAGGTTGCGTGGGGCACCTCGCACACGTGACCGGCCACCGCTGGGGTCCTGCAGGTCGTATAGGGCACCTGGACCATGAGGGACCTGTGGTCACCACATCCTGCAGGAACCATGAGGGACCTGCGGTCACCACGTCCTGCAGGTCATAGATGACACGGAGCACCAGGGACCTGCTGCCATCTCTGGGTCCTGCAGGTCATATAGGGCACCTGGACCACAAGGGACCTGTGGTCACCACATCCTGCGGGTCATATATGGCATGGAGCACCAGGGACCTGCTGCCACCACAGACCAATGGGCTGCCCAGGAATCAACCTTCTGCATCCCACAGGGCCCCAGCATGCCGGGGACTTGTCCCTGCTGTGTCCCACGGCTGTAGGGGAMATGGGACACCATCATGCCAGCCCCAGGGCACCTGTGAACCCACCGCRTGACACCTGCAACCTGCCACCACAGGGTCCTGCAGGTCACACAAGGCCCACGAGGGGCCTGCGGTCYCCGCACCCTGCAGGGCACATAGGGTCCCCGGGGGACCTGCCAGGGTCACGGTCAGCAGCGTGTCCCCGGGGCGGGCAGGGGACAGGGCTGCGGCGGGTGCCGCAGTTCGGGGCACCGTCCTGCACTCACAGCTGCTCCTGCAGCTCCAGGATGACGCCCTCCAGCTCCCGCTTCTCCAGCTGGTTCTGCACCGTCACCTCCTCCAGACGCATCTTCAGCCGCTTGTTCTCGGCCTCCAGGTCCTTGAGCTGCGACTCCCGCAGCCGCACGAGCTCCTCCAGGTAGCCCTGCGCCAGCCCACGCTGAGCAGCCACCGCYGGGCCACCCCGGGGCCACCACCAGCCACCCGGCCACCACCACAGGGCACCGAGGACGCAGGGGAGCCGGGGCGCCGGGCCCGGAGCGCATCCCAGGGCGGGATGCTCCGCGCGGGAGGGAGCCTGGCTCGGTCATCCCGAGCCCCCGGTACCTTCTGGGCATAGACGATGCGGAACTTCTGCTCCATCTTGCGCCACTTGTTGTACCAGCTGTCCTCGTCGGTGACGAGCGGCAGGTAGGGGTGCTCGGGCGAGCTGTCCTCGCTCGTGCTGCTCTCCACGCTGCCCCGCTCCTCCTCCTCGCTCAGGTAGTCATAGCTGGGCAGACGGGGCTCAGTGGGTGCAGAGGCACCCATGGGTGCCAGGGCGCACGGGTGCCGGCACAGCCGTTTCCGTGGCGTTACCTCTGCGTGAACTTCAGGTAGGGCGTGTAGTCGATGACCACGGGCGTCTTGCCGTCCATCACCTCGCCCTTCAGGCAGAAGCTGAGCCGGGCAGGGAGCGAGGGGTGAGGAGAGGAGGGGGTGCAGAACACCCCCCCCCCGTCCTGGGCGTCCCCTGTGTCCCCAGCACCCCACACGTCCCCAGCACCCCACATGCACCCTGTGTGTCCCGGGCATCCCACAGGTTGTGTGCTCCATGTGTCCTGGGCGTCATGTGTGTCCCTGGCACCCACATGTCGCAGGCACCCTGCATGTCCCTGTYCCCCGTGCATCCTGTGCGTGTCCCAGGCATCCCAGATATCCCGGGCATCCTGCATGACCCTGGTGCCCCACACATCCCAGGCAACCCCGCATGATGCTGTCACCCCATGTGTCCTGGGCACACACCACACGTCCCGGTCACCGTGGATGTCGTGGGCACCCCGCGTGTCCCCAGCACCCTGCGCGTCCCCGCGCACCTGAAGTCGATGGCGCTGAGCCCGATGAGCATGCCGGTGAGCACCGTGGACTCCTCCCGCAGCATGATGGCCCCGTCGTCGTAAAACCTCCTGCGTGGAGAGGCGGGCGCCGTGAGGCCGTGGGGACGGGAGTGGGGACACGAGCGGGGACACGAGCGGGGACACGAGCGGGGACGCGGGCGGCTGCTCACCGCGTGGTCCGCGTGTCCCGCAGCGCCGTGGAGATGTACTCGGACATGCGCTTCTCCATCAGGGCCACCCGGATCCAGGCCCGGCCCTGCAGGAGAGGCCAGGAGAGAGCCCTGCAGGCGGGCACGGCCACCACCGCCGCTGCCACCACCCCAAGGGCTGGTCCCCAGAGGCATCGATGCTGCTGGGCATGCCGKCCCCCCCATCCCCAGGAGCTTTTGTCCCCCTCGTGCCCTTGCAGAGATCCACAGCTCCTGCTTTGTGTCCTTCATGTAGGGGAAATCACCGCAGCAGAGCGAGCTCATGGGGCAGGACCAGGCCTGGGGCTACATGAGGAGCAAGGGATGGGACAGGGTGAGCACAGGGCTGGGGATGGGGACAGGGACAGGGATGAGGAGGGAGATAGAGATGGGGCAGGGACATAGTGGACATGGGGCTGGGGCTGGGGACAGGGGCAGGGATGAGGAGGGAGATAGAGATGGGGATGGGGCAGGGACATGGTGGACATGGGGTTGGGAATGGGGACAGGGACAAGGATGAGGAGGGAGATAAGAGATGGAGATGGGAACATGGTGGACATGGAGTTGGGGATGGAGAGAGAGAAGATGAGGTCAGGGATATCCCTGGGAATGAGGATGGTGATGGGGACAGGGAGGAGGATGAGGAGGGACATGAAGGTGGAGATAGGGTGGAATAGGAGCAGGGATGAGATCAGGGAAGAATCTGGAGACGGGGATGTGGACGGCAATGGAGCGAGATGGAGACGGCCATGGGGATGGAGCCAAGGCCAGGGCCATGGATGGGGACAARGTGGATGGGGCCAGACCCAGGACCACCCTGACCTTGGCCCTGGAGGTGCTGATGTTCTCCATGTTCTCGATGCTGCTGACGCAGTTGTTGGGCACCTTGCTGCAGGCCAGGCGGATGTAGTCCCAGAAGCCGCGCTGCCCATCCGAGCTGAACCAGCTCACGGGGCCTGGGGACACGGCGGTGACGCTGTCACGGCGGGGGCCGCCCGCCGCCCGCCGCCCCCGCACGCCGGCGCTACCTTTAAAGCGGTGGCTGAGGATCTGCTCGAGGATGGCAGCRAAGTTGACGAACTCCTCGGAGGAGTCGTCGATGGGGTCGGCCGTGTACTTCTCCAGCAGGGTCTTCACTGAAAACCTGCGGCGAGGGACGTCACCCTGTGGGTGCTGCCGCTGGCACGTGGGCAGTGCAGGGCACTCGCACCCGGGCTCCTGGGCCTCTTGGCTGCGCAGGATCAGGGAATGCACCCAAACGCAAAGCGCCCGGAGCCAGGCCGGACGTCTAAAGCCATAAGGAAAAGCCATTTTCGCCATGGGCTGGGTCAGCAGGGCCGTGACGGGGCCGGTGGCCAGGACGCCAGGGCTCTTTCCTCTGGGCAGGGTCCCAGGCGGGCGGGTGGCCGCGGGCCGGCCACGCGCTCCGGCCGCGCTGGCAGCCCCCGCTTCCGCCGGTGCCGCGGGACGGAAACG